CGCCAACAGGGCTTGCTAGCTTACCACCCAAAACTGGAGAACAGCTCTTTCCACCCAGGATGTCTAAATGTTTGGACTCCTTATCATAAGGAGAGGATCTGGAGTGGGTTTGTTGATTTCTTTCATTAGCTTCATCCACCACCAGGGAATTGGGAATGGGGTGTGAAAATAAATGCTCCATTCTCTTCAATGGAATATAGTCATTTTTATCTGCCTGCTTACAGGTGGGTTGGATTGTGGCAGGTGTTTGCCAGACTGTGAGAGTAGGCAATAACAGAGCCTCATTGGTTAGGAGGGGATTTCCCCTGAGGGGTGATATTTATAATGGCTACCAAGGAGTGCTGAGACTCCTGAACCTCTTCTAACAGGATCTGGAGGGATTCTGCCAGGCATTTCATGGGGTCTTGGATGGGCCAAAAGTCATCAGCAAAAGAGGGTGGTAGGGGCATTATTGCCTTATTGGAGATGAAGACGTGTTTGTTGATGGCTGTGAGTTTCCCTCCATTTGTGGTTCCTCAGAAGTCTGAGTCAGTATCAGGGTCTGGAGAAGGGGTCAGTGCCAAAAGGGTGAGCATGGTACCAGAGCGACTTGTGGAGGAAATTCTCTGACATCAGAGCTCTGGTGCAGGGAAGATGGAGGAACTGGAGTGCAAGTAGGAGGCTGTGTGCATCTCGGGGCCAAGAGGGGTCTGTCAGTACTGACACAGGGCTCCCTGTGCTGTCTACTAGAAGGCCTCTCCATCTGCTGCTTCTTGTGCAGTACCAGTGACCCGGTACCAGAATCAGACAGAGCCTCAGCTGTATCCCCCTTGAGTGGACCTGAGGTCTCCTCAGCAGGGGTCGGCAACCTTTCAGAAGTGGTGTGCCGAGTCTTCATTTATTCACTCTAATTTAAGGTTTTGCGTGCCAGTAATACATTTTAACGTTTTTAGAAAGTCTCTTTCTATAAGTCTATAATATATAACTAAACTATTGTTGAATATAAAGTAAATAAGGTTTTTAAAATGTTTAAGAAGCTTCATTTAAAATTAAATTAAAATGCAGAGCCCCCCGAACTGGTGGCCAGGGCCCGGGAAGTGTGAGTGCCACTGAAAATCAGCTTGCGTGCCGCCTTTGGCACACATGCCATAGGTTGCCTACCCCTATCTCAGAGTGAGATTTATGGGGTGAGCTTCCTTGTTTCCCTGGTAGGGGAAAGAAGCTTCTTCTTCCTCGATGTCCTAGCTTCTGAAAATGGTGGGCCGGTGGAGCAGCCCAGCAAGGTGATGCCAACTTATGAGGTGGGAAATGGATACCCCCCCCAGAGCTAGTGAGCATTCCATTACAAGGAGCTTCAGTCTCTCCTTTCTCTCCTTTTGAGACCTGCCTTAAATCCCGGACAGACCTTACACCGTGACGGGATGTGGATGTCTCCGTGGCAGCAGAGGCAGCTCGAATGTCCATTGCTATGGGGATAAAAACCTGTGCCAATTCTGGCAGGGCTTAAATCCCATGGTCTGTGGCATAACCTGGAGTGTAATGGTCCAAAAATAGGGTACTGAAAAAAAAGGGGGAGAGGGCAACCAACCCACCTTCTAAACACAATTGTGTTAAGACTAAAAGAGAAATAAAATATCTAAACAAAATAAAGGAAAACTAAGAAAGAAAAAAACATGAAAATGACTGAGTTAAGAAAGGCAGGAAGCTGAGAATCAGTGGGCATGCAATCGTTCTGTCTCAAGGCACAGGTAGTCGAGAAGCAACTGAGTTGTGGTGGGCCCACACTTCCTTACATGTCCTCATTTGGAGGTACAAGGCGCTGCCCTGCGCAGGCATGGGCCTGTGCACACTGCTTTGCTTCTCTGTCGAGCGCGTCCAGACACATGTGCGTCCTCTGGTGGAGCACCCATAGGGACAAACAGTCAAAGACAAAAGGAACATTATTCCAAGTGGAGATGTATTTTAAATTAATACTGGGCTCAAGATAGAGTTCAAAGCCTCATCATGAATAATTTTCAAAAGCGTGCAGCCCTTCCAATGAGGTGCATTCCCATTTTAGATAGTTCCTATCCCTATCAGAGGAGTTATGCATTGGTTAGAGACACAGAGGCCAGGATTCTCCTGTGTGAGGGTTGCTCTGGGCCCATTAGTGAAAGCATTCCTGAAGCTGGGATCTGCCAGTGGTGTAGAACTGATGTAATGGCTTCTATGCTACCCCCCACAGTTAACATAAAGGCCATGTGTGGCCAAGACTTCTTTGCACCTCATCAATCCCCAGTTGCTCTTGAAGACTCCTTGGGGGCCCCAGGCTGCTCTATATAAAGCCAAGAGATCAGCTCAGTGTGCACCTGGCGCAGGATTAGGACATGCAATGCTAAGAGCCACAGTTGAATCCATTCTGCCAAGCTACACTGTGGGCTGCTCCATAGCAGCTGGGGATCTGGGCTTAGACCTCTAGACACACAGTATAAACATGCTCATAGCCTCAGACTTTAAGGCCAGAAGGGACCATCATGATCATCTAGTTTGACCTCTTGCACATTTCAGGCCACAGAACTTCACCCACCCACTCCTGTGATAGACCCCCTAACCTCTGGCTGAGTCACTGAAGTCCTCAATCATGGTTTAAAGACTTCAAGTTACAAAGAATCCACCATTCACACTAGTTTAAACCTGCACATAACCCATACCCTATACTGCAGAGGAAGGCAAAAAAAAAACAATCCCAGGCTCTCTGCCAATCTGACCTGGGGGAAAATTCCTTTCTGACCCAAAATATGGCGATCAGTTAGACCCTGAGCATGTGGGCAAGACCTACCAGCCAGACACCTGAGAAAGAATTCTCCATAGTAACTGAGAGCCCTCCCAATCTAGTGTCCCATCACCAGCCATTGGAGATATTTGCTACTGTCGATCACTTGCCCAGCCATGCCACAAAAATAGAGGATTTCCAAAATTAATCTTGTGCCCACAGTCTAGCACAAAACAGTTATTCACTTGCAAGTTAATGGCTAATCAAAGAAAGTTGGAAAGGATTTATTCACTGAAAGTCAGTTTATGAGACCCTTTCTTCCCATGGTGAGCAGATTTAATTGAAAAAAGATTTATATAAGAAATTCTAATTCCTCTATATTTTTAATTCACTCTCACATTCAGTGCAGCACATAAGATTTGAAACTACAGGTCTGATGAGACAAGTCTTGCTAGGATAGCAACCATCCAGAAGAAGACACTCTGCAGATAACTGCAGAAGACTACGAAGCACCACCCAGCACCAACACTGGGTTTGGTGTGGATTTAGGGAGCAGTATTTCCCAAACCAAAGGAGGGATATTGCTCTACCACTACCATACACATTATTCCAAGAGGGTACAGTGCAAACCCATAGATTCAGGCTTGCATCTTACTTTTAAGCAACATCTCAGATAAAATCCAAAAAGTGAGACCATCCACTTAGTAATATTCACAGTTGCTTTAGCAACTGGTGCAGGAAAAACCATAGGAAGCAAATGCAAGACTATTCAAGGGGCCTTGCTTGGCAAATGAGTTGCTAGGGTGATCTCTGCAATATGAGAGCAAGAAAGATGTACATGTGTGTATGTATGTTTGATTAATAATATAATTGAAATAACTGTAATGGAAAAACAAACCCTAATTTTGCATGTGCATGCTGTGAGCCCAGGTGACATTGGTATGTTATTGTGATAGCTTCTTTCAAACATACCAAGCCCTGGTGATCACTATTTAAATCTTTCTCCTGTCCCTGGGAGAGTTGCTTGCTGACTTTCTGTGTGTGCCATGTTCAGCATTAGATTTTTATTTAAATCAGAATTCTCAGATATAAAGGAGGCAGAGATATCCATTTTTATCTCTGATTATCCAAGCACACATCAAAGCCTCTGCAATGCAGTAACTCTCCAAGGGCTTTTGATAGCAAAAGGATGTTTGCCTGGTCACCATAGAGAGTACAATCTAGAATATCCTGTCCGAAGCATGATAAGGCATCAGAAGGAGAAGAGACGGATGTGGGGGGGCAGGAAATGAGGGATAGCTAGTGTGTTTTAATGACTCATGTAAGTCAGGGATGAGATATTAATTATTTCTTCAGAAGTTAAGGACTGCTCAGGATTCCAGCCAAGCAGACATCTGAAGAGGAAACATCCTGTACACTAGGCTTGGTCATCACTGCATATTTGATAGCAACACGTTGTGTGGGCTGGATATCTCCATTTCTGTCATAGCAGAAATATGTGTGAAATGAAAGAGCATGTGTCTCTTTTCTCCTAGACACAGAGGGTCAGACAGAGTGGTTATGGGAGTCCAGATTCAGTGCTAGCCAACCCAGCACATGTTACAGGTAATTCCTTCTTGAATGTTCAATTCTGATTCATTTCTAGACATCCTAGATTTGTTTAGCCAGGCTGGGTGTATCCCATGCTACCTAGCTAGGAAGTTTCCTGATATTTTATCCTGGAAATCTTCACTCACACGCAGCACAGTCCTGCTTTGATTACATTCCATCTGGGGTGTCTAAGGAACAAGCCAGACAAATTATTTCCCTTCCTGTGGTTCTATGCCATTATAGACCAAATGCCTTCTGGGCCCCCGTCTTTTGCCCTAGCCATGATGGCACTACACCATTATAAATGCTCATAAACTATTGGTCACACCTCATGCACTTTTGTTCTCTTAATTGCTTGGTAGCTCCCAGCACTGCTGTCCATGACGGAAAAGTGCAGCTATGAACAAGCCACGAAATCACAGAGCTCCATGCAAACAGGGTTTGTTCCCACCCTCTCTCCCCAGGAAGTGGAAAGCATAGCCAAAATGATAATGGCCAGGTCTGCGAGGCCACTTGTGACAGTGGGGTGTTAGCAAAGGCACAGGGTAAGCGTGTAGCAGGCAACACTCCCAGGCTCATTGGACACAGGGGAATATTAATACCCATTGAAATCACATTCGTTTAAACACTGTGCTTTCCCTACATGGTGACAGCTAAAGCGACCCAACCCAGGACTGACCTCAGCAGCTTTTCTATGGTTGTCATCATTCTCTAGCATACGGACGTCCACTCCGAGGCAGCGAAGGTGGCGCCCAAGTCCCTGCAGCATGTTATCACAGACCACGCTGAACTCCTTCGGGGAGATGGAAGGAGGGGGGCTCAAGGCCTCCATGCCTATCACTTTGGCTTGCTACAGGAAAAAAAGACATACAGGAATGACTGAAGTTTGTTTATTTTATTTCAAATGTCTGCTGCCTGGAGAGTCCCCTGAGATACCCTCCTGTCTTTGGGAGGCTGTATTAATGTAGCAGGTAACCTATTCAGGATAATTGGGGCTACAACCCCAAACCAGCCTCCAATGCTCAGCTTTGCTTCTAGTATCTTTAAAATTAATAGGCTGGGTTGCTTGAAGACATATTTACAGTTTGTAGGTGGTTACTGTACTTAGAACAGGGAATTGCTGCAGGATCCATTATTATATGCAGTATTGCTGCAGTAGAAGAACTGGGGGTCACCAAATGAAATAGGCAGCAGGTTTAAAATGAACAAAAGGAAGTATTTCTTCACACAATGCACAGTCAACCTGTGGAACTCTTTGTCAGAGGATGTTGTGAAGGCCAAGACTAACAGGGTTGAAAAAAGAACTAGATAAGTCCATGGAGTATAGGTCCATCAATGGCTATTAGCCAGGATGGGCAGGAATGCAAAACCATGCTCCGAAGTCTCCCAGGCCTCTGTTTGCGAGATGCTGGGAATGGGCAACAGGGGATGGATCTCTTGATGATTACCTGTTCTGTTCATTCCCTCTAAAGCATCTGGCATTGGCCACCATCAGAAGACAGGATACTGGTCTGACCCAGTATGGCCATTCTTATGTTCCTATCTCAAATACCAGTGGGTGGTCGCTGTGGGTAAATGCTCACTTTTCGACGGTGATACAGTATGAAGATATTTACACTGTTAAATCTATGTTACTGCCTTTTCTCAAAGAGACTTGAAGCTCTCTGGGGCAGGGCCTCTCACACTTCATAGGGCCCGGATCTCAGTGGGTCCCTGAACACTACTGTAATAAACATCAACAATAGTCACTTGACTAATTAATTGGATTATAGAGGTGACAATGATGGATCCTGAGTTCACAAGGAAGTCCAAGCCTGTAAAACTTATTGTAGCAACCTTTGCAGCAATAGCCTGAATATGTTTAATTTACAATATTCCCATTAGTTTGGGATGGCTAGTAAATTCTGCTGAAAAACCTTGTATGCAAATAGGAAGGTGCTAACATCAATGGCGACTTGCTATGTTGTTCGTATTTCTAAATGACATTTTCCAGCGGAGGAAATAAATGCACTGACCTATGCAGGGAACTTTGAGTACTGGCACTATTGGGGTTAAACACATTTCCCCAGTAAAATAGGAAAGTGAGAAGGATTTTTGCTACCCCAGGACTAGAGAAAGGCCTGCAGACAGGCTTGACAGGCATGGCTAATAGCCTGCTTGAGAGGTGATGCCAGTGTATAGTTTGAAGAGATTGGGAGCAATGTACAGTTCTTTGAAGAAGTTTACAAACCTGCTCGGAAGGTGATGGCATTTCTTGTTGATTCAGCTGCTTCTTTGCCCTGGATTTTGTGGTAGGTTTACCCACCAGGCTCTCAGTGAGATCTGAACACAGGCCAAAGCCTGATGGATCCTCACACAGTTTCTTATACACCTCCAGCAAGCAGTAAGCATCAGAAGCTACAAAACAGAAAATCCCCATTAGTTTAGCTTTGACCAAAATAGAAAGAAAGGCTTTTGTGATGAAAAGAAGAGGGTCTACACCTATATAAATGCAACTACATCCAATCGCCCTTGGTAGCTGCAGGTATCTAGCACTGTATCTTACAGTCTTGTATAGATTCAGTAAATATAATAATCAAATAGGCTTTGACCCAGAATCCCATTTCATCAATCCAGAACTAGCACAAATGTGGTATCTTTCCCCTCACAGAATTCAAAGACACAGAGCCACACTCAGCCTTGACACAAAGAAGCTGCAACTACCACTGCTTGAGACATTCAATTCTAACTTGAGGATTTAGCCATGCAGCCCCCATTCATTTCAATGGAAGTTGTGTGACTAAATCTCCTAGTCAGCTATGCAAATCTCAAACACTGACCTGATTGGGAGTTGCCCCTGCTTACAGAAGGGCTGAATTTAACACTGGGCTGGTACTTTTTTTATCACTCGGTGGAGTTCCGCTGTCTCACTGTGACTCATCTCTGGATTTATACCTACAGTTCATATTGACCTGCCTGGACCAAGGCCCCTGTAGTATAGCTCCGAACGCCATCCAGGCCCATCTTGAATTCAGTGCATCCTTGTGACATACGGGACATAATAGTGGTTTCCCAGAAAAGCCGTGTGCAGTGAAATGAGGCAGAAGGAAGTGGACTTTTTTTCCTTTACAACTATTCAGAGGAGTTCCCATTGAGATTATGTTTCATCAGAATAATTTGACTGGTAAAGAAATTCTTTTATCAGAGAAATAATGATTCATTGAACAGCTTACACTCCAGCCATTAAAACTAGGTCCATAAAAGGACAAACAAAACATGTGCTGGCTTCTTTGAACAGGAACTAATCTGCAAAGCCATTTTCCCCTCTGCTGGTTAACATTTTTTCCACATCTACACATCTAATGAAATGCAGGCCCATGACAGAGTTGTCCGTGGCACCTTGCTCTACAGTTACATGCTAACCAGACCTGCATAGAGGATTTGTTCCTCCCGCAGCGGCCGTTTCTCCCAGTTGGAGAGCTGCTCAGTTTTATCAAGAGGTTTCCCCAGGACATGCTGCACCAGCAGACTGAGCCCTCTTTCCGGCTGCCTGAACCCTCTGTCTCCACAGCTCTTCTCCTGTGACAGTACGTCAACTTGAAGTCTGCTCTTCCTCCAGCATTTCTGTAACTGAAGGGGGAGAGAAAGATGCAAAACAAACAGATTTCAAAACAGAGCCTGAAAATATCACACGTTGCAGTGGGGTGGAAAGTACAATCAAGGCATGTGGGTATACACAGCCCAGCCATCTCAGACAAGGGCTGGCATGGCAAACTGGATACCCGAACAGATATTGGGTATCTGCTTGACAAACACACTTGTTGGAAATGAACTTGGTTTCAAAGCATGGAAGGGAAACAACGGCCTAGTTTGACTGCATCATATCTGGAGCGCTTTTTGGAAATTTTTTATTTGAAACTTTTTATTAAAGCAAACTTACAATAAAATGTTAACAAACTACATTGTACATTATCTATTACTTAGTCAGGATCAAGTTCATATTCAAAGAACCTGGCTAAAGATTCTGGCTTGCTGACTGTGGAGTCTGCCTCCTCTGAGTATGCTAAAAAGGGTGACCAAATTTCTCCTGGAGCATTTTCCTAAGATGTTAAGAAGTTGGGTCAGGGAGTGTCTCTTCTCATGCATTTGCAAAGCACCTAGAGCAGAGAGTCCCTGAGCCAACTGAGGCCACTGGGCACGAACGCAATACAAATAATAAAGAAATAATAACCACAGAACCCCTGCATCTTCCTCCCCATTTTGTTTTCTGAGCTAATATGTTAAACAGAAAAGGTGCCCCAGGATTAGAGCAAACAATGACGATTCTGAAATGTCCCCCACTCGGTCTGGATAGAACTGAGGCTGTGACTACTTGTGGACACTAGAGTGTCCTCAGCACTTCCTGAGTTGGGATGACAACCCCAGGAGTTTGGCTAAATCCCAACCTACCTCCTTAAATGTCCCCTGCAGTTTCAAACAGATGCATTTTTTCATTTTCTTACTAAAATTACTGCATGCTGCTACATAACTACTGAGTTCTAATCCAGAGCCAGCTGCATTTCAGTAGCAGATGAATGCAAATCCTGTACTGCACTGAGTCCTATGCTCCATGCTCTTTATAAGGAGCTGTCTATTAAATCCATAACAACTCTATGGACACTACCAAATGCTAGAATAATGAAACTTTTATAAGTTAAAGATCATTCTACAAGAATTTGCTCATAGCAAGTATGAGTGTGATGGCTGTGTTCAAAAAGCCCCTCTTGGGTGAATGGACCTCTGGCTCCATTTTAGTTCCTTTTTTAAAGGTAAAGTGGAGAGCTATTAAAATGCCCAGCCATGTCTTTTTAGCTAATCAAAACTAAATGCTTGTGTCTCTCTCTAAAGAATCACAACACCCTAGGAACTAAAGATGGAAAAGACCTATTAGGTCATCTAGCCATCTCCCTGCCAATATAGGATGCAGAAAGAAAATGCTGTGAAATAATGAGTTATCTTCCAGTACAGTCAAGAGAAGGACTCTTCCAAATCTTCAGGTTCCCATTCTTACTTGTTTATCTACTGCAAGCAGGTCCACTATGCCTTGCATGTGCTTATCCATTTCTTTAAAAGCAGAGCACGTAGCAGCTAGGCTGTGCAGGTCTCCGGACATCCCATAACCTGCAGAGACAAAGCCACAAATCACACAGATAGAAAAATGAGTTCTGGGTTCTGGTGCACGGCAGGCTAACCCGAGAGCTCCGGGTTCTGGTTCTAGGAAGATATCCGTTCTGGTACTGGGTGGGTTAACCCAGAGAGCTATGGGGTTCTGGTTCCAGGTGGGCTAACCCAGAAAGATATCCGTTCTGGTCCTGGGCGGGCTAACCCAGAGAGCTATGAATTCTGGTATTGAGTGGGCAAACCCAGGGAGCTATGGGCTCTAGAACTGGATGGGCTAACTTTGAAAGCTCTGGGTTCTGGTACTGGGTGCTCTCTTGATTAGCCTGGTTTGATTTCTGGTACTCAGTGGGCTAACCCCAAGCGTTCTGGGTCCTGATACTGGGTGGACTAACCCAGGGAGTTGTGGGTTCTGGTATGGAGCAGGCTAACCCAGACAGATGTTTGTTCTGATACCAGATGGGTTAACCCACAGAGCTGTAGTTTCTGATGTGGGGCAGGCAGTGGTGGAAGCTGTTCACCCTGCTGCCTGCCATGGCAGCCATCTAATCTAGAGGGCTCCCGAAGCGATAAGAGAAGAATGTTCTAACTGGACTAGATTATACCCTAACTAGGGGAAGGCCCCATGTATAGAGGGCAGGGTAGATGAAGTCCCTGTTGTTCCTATTTATGTGAAGTAGTGAGAAAGGCTGACAGTTCCTGCAGTGGAAAGCAGAGCATAGGGGAAAGCTTAAGTTACCTAGTTTAATGATGGCTGGATCTGAGAAGAGGGTCTGGACAAAGTGAGAAAGCTCCTCCATCTCATCTGGCTTGAGGAGCTGCAGCAAATCCAGGAGGAACACCTGCTCCTCGATAGCAATCTGCAGCACTGAGACGCGTGGCCTTCCAACCACACCGAATGACGGCCTCCACTCCATATCGATGCCAACAACCTGGCCGGGCTGCAGCATACACAAAAGGCTTTCTTTACTCAGGGCTTGTCTACATGGGATATAGACTGGAACAGCAATTGTGGAACAACTCCCTGGCTGGACACTCTACTCTGGACTAAGAGTGACTTTATTGCAGAATAATTACTCTGCTTTGGAAGTGCACTTATTATTGTGAATAAAGTGGCTTTTATCCAGAATACAGTGTCCCATAGGATTTTTTCCGATAGTTCAGGTGTGGGCAAACTTTTTGGCCTTAGAGCCACATCTGGGTATGGAAATTGTACAGCAGGCCATGAATTCTCATGAAATTGGGGGTTGGGGTGCAGGACGGGGTGAGAGCTCTGGCTGGGGGTGCGGGCTCTGGGGTGGGACCAGAAATGAGGAGTTTAGTGTGCAGGAGGGGGCTCTGGGCTAGGACAGGAGGTTGGGGTGCAGGCGGGGGGGGAAGTGGAGGAGGGCTCTCGCTGGGGGTGTGGGCTCTGGAGTGGGGCTGGGGATGAGGGATTTGGGGTGTAGGAGGGTGCTCCAGACTGGGACCAAGGGGCTCGGAAGGCAGGAGGGGGATCAGGGGCATGGGGGGGGGTGAAGGCTCTGGCTGGGGCTGCGGGCTCTGGGGTGGGGCCAGAAATGAGGAGTTCAGGGTGCGGGAGGAGGCTTCTGGCTGGGGCAGGGGGTTGGGGCACAGGAGGAGGTCAGGGGTGTAGGCTCCGGGCAGCGCACGCAGAGCATTCTCCGACCCTGCTCCCCGGCTGGAGCACGGAAGCAGGGTAAGCCCCAGACCCCACTCCCCAGAGGGAGTTTGAGGGCCGGATTAAACCAGCTGGAGCGCCGGATGTGGCCTGTGGGCCGTAGTTTGCCCACCCCTGCGATAGCTTACTCCACAATAGCTATTCCAGTCAATCTCCAAGCCCACAGGCCTCAGAGATTTCCTACTGAAAGTGCCAGGAGTGCTCCTGCTGCTCCTGGCACAGACTGACATGTATTTGATGATGAAGGTCACAAATATTCCGTTACATGATTGACATTAAAAAGCCAACAGCAGGGAGACACTTACCTGCAGCACCTTCTCCCTCCACTTCAGCATCCCTTCCCATGTCTGCAGAAAGTGAATGTTCTCCCTGGGAATGGGGAGCTGGTAATAACCCTCCTTCTTATCCTTTTCATAGTCATCCACTCTGCTCTCAGCATCTTCTACCCTGCACAAAAGAAGAGCCAGCAACTTTTAACAGGGCCATCCTAAGATTTCAGGGCCCAAGGGACATCAGAAAGTCCTAGAGCCCCTCTCCTCACATCCCTCTGTCACCTCTTCTCACTCGATCTCTCTTCTCTCTCCACTTTCTCTGACCCTTTCCTTACGCTACTCTTTCTCTCTGTTCCTTTCAGCCTTGACTCACCTTCTCTCCCTCCCCCCACCAAAAAATCACTACAAAAACATTTAGTGCAGAGGCCAGCAACCTTTCAGAAGTGGTGTGCCGAGTCTTCATTTATTCACTCTAATTTAAGGTTTTGTGTGCCAGTAATACAGTTTAACGTTTTTAGAAGGTCTCTTTCTATAAGTCTATAATACATAACTAAACTATTGTTGTATGTAAAGTAAATAAGGTTTTAAAAATGTTTAAGAAGCTTCATTTAAAATTCAATTAAAATGCAGAGCCCCCTGGATGGGTGGCCAGGACCTGGGCAGTGTGAGTGCCACTGAAAATCAGCTCGCGCGCCGCCTTCGGCACCCGTGCCATAGGTTGCCTACCCCTGATCTAGTGCATGTGAGACAGAGATGGAAGCTTGGAGTCCATTCCATCAATAACACATACACATTGGAAGTAACCTCCAGACTAGAAATGCCTCCCAAACCCAGACTTCTCATCATGCATTGCTCACATTCCACTCCCTTTTCCAGAACTGATGTGAACTTAAAGCCAGCAAGTGAGCTCCGGCTTCGAAGATAGCACATTGTAAGGACCCCTCACCATGAACCCAGGAACCCACTAGCTGGCATGGCCCCATCCACATGGACAGGCTGGCTCTGACCGGCTCAGGGCCCAAACCAGAGCTTTGGTTTTCTCATTAGACAGGAACAGGCAGAGAATCACAGGCTGCTCCACCTCTGGCTCAAGAGGCCTCCTCCTCCATTGAGCTTAGAGTGGAATGGCTCATAAAGGCTTCACTAACCTCTCCTTCCTATGCCAGCTTCCCCCAGCCCTTTTCCTGTACAGCATCTACACCTGCTGTTCCCTCTGATCCATGGAGCTGGAAATACAAAAGCCCCGAGAAGGTTTTCACACTACTCCACCATCTCCCTGCACTTTGGGTCTACGTGCTAAGAACAGTGGTAAGCTGAACTCACAACCAGACTGAGATTCCCCACCTGTTTGATTCTCCCACACTAAGACTTCAGGCCATGTCCCAGAGAGAGGTGTAATGCAAGTGCATTAACACCCTGGCACTGTTAGGGAGATGCGTGCCGAAATGGGCTTTGCGAGTTATCACGGATTTCCTAGAACAGGATCTTACACAGCACGAGTTGGTTCCCCATACAGCAGAGGCTCTTGCAATAGCTTTATAAATGCTGTAATAGCTTTGCACTTGTGTCCTGTCCAGATGATGCAATCCGAGGAAAGTAAGAGCAAGAGAAAACCCAGCGATTTTGTATGTATCATGAATTTCTGGCTAGTCTCTTTCCCACAGAGACTTTAAATGGTTTATTATTTGAGAAAATATTTACTAACCTTGTGTTTCGGGGACTGTGTGACTAATTTTGTAACATAGCAGCTTGGTGCTGTGCAAACATTCCCTCGCAGAGACGGTATGTGTGCACGGCGAAGTCAATATTTGTGTAAAATATTTAATGAAGGTGTGAAATCTCATGTCTCTGGGAATATTCTGATCTGCACAGCTCAAGAGGAGCATGTGGTAGGACCACAGCAGAGATGATGTCATCATTTATACTCTGATACCATCTCTCTTTCCCTTGCAGCGTGAACACCCTCTGTGGGAACCTGCTGCTAGACTATTTCAATTGCTAAGAAAAGAGAAGTGGCTGCATTTGGATCCAGAGCTCCATGAACTGCAAAGCACTTCACCATAGTGGGTTAGGATTCTTATCCCCATTTTGCAGGTGGGAAGACTGAGGTACAGTAGGCTTCACTTACACTGAGAATGGCAGAGCTGGCATATGCAATGAGGTTACTGACATGTTAAGTTCTGATGTTGGTTTCCTGCCGTGGTACATGCCCAGAGTTTGTGGCTCTCTCGCAGGCATGGTCCCCACCTACCCACTGTCTGGGGGCTTACATTGCCTGTAAGATACTGTCCCCCCTTACGGGCAGCCTCCTGCAGGCCCAGATTTCAGTGTCTCCTGAGCATAGCTGCTGTGCTTCCCTTTCCACTGGGCTCTGTGTCCTGGTGATGCGGTGGGGGCAGGCTATCATCTGTCTCCTTTGGCAGAGGCTAGCGGCTGCAGGACTGATAACCTTATGCAGTCCATGAGTCCCCAAGTGCAAGGCCTGCCATTGCACACAATCTCTGCAAGCATGAGTGCTGCTCTGCACTCAGCGACACACCCCAGAGTTCTCCGGCTTTGTACTAAATGTTCAGCGCCAGATCATCTTCCTTGTGCAAAGTCCAAGTAAATGCACGGGGTGATTGATGGGGGAAAGAATACCTCTTTCCTTGGCTGCAGTGGGCTGGTAGAGCCACCAGCACCTTCTTGCAAGACTAGAGGACCGCAATAGCCTTGACTGAGGCTCTGCACCCCTGCAGGAATCTGGCTGCTGTGACAATCTGGCTGGTGGACATGCCTCCTCCAGCCTGGCTCATATCCAAAACACCTCCTCATGCTCTCATGGCTTAAGCCCCATGGAACACATTTTCACTGCAGATGGAGTTATGGACACCATTGCATGGATTCTCTGCATACTGCCTCCCTGCACCGCATAACCACACCAATTCTACTATCTTTTATATCCTACGTGCTAGAGGGAATGGGCAGGATGTGCCCCTCAGGTAGCGACACCACCAGTATCATGCAACTTCTGGATTCTTTAAACTTAGTGCTCCCACCCTAAGATCTGGCTACTAGATGTTTTGCTGTTGATTGCCTATGTCTGAAATACCTCATGTACACTGCCTGAAATAAGGGGGTAAAATATACTCTGAGACACAAGTCAGGAAGGAAAAGCAAGATTCAAGAAAGAAGCAAAAAGAGGAGGAACGCCAAACTAAGAGACTCCTCAGCAGTTTGTTCTCAGATATTTGCACATGGATTCTTCAGAAAGTGTGGTGGATTTAACTTTATACTATGGACTTAACTGAACAGCTGGAGCTCAGACAATCATTTGCAGTAGGTCATTTATCCAAATGCAGCCTCTCTCTCTGCAGGCTGGGATTTCCCTGCATGAACTCAGCAGTCCAATTTACTCAAACAGGGGCGGAGGGTGAGATTCTGTGTTGTGTCTCTAAGAGATAAAGTACAGAACTCTCCTCCTGAGGGCACTTTAAGCCACCTTTGTGCCTCCCAGATCCGAGCTGCTCTGGGGGCCAGAGAGGTCACTGGCATAATTCAGACATTTCTGAAGTCGGTATAATCCACAATATTTACCTCTCCTGGGCCTTGAGTTTCTGAAGTTCATTGGCCACTCCATAAGGCAGGGTCTTCTCAGGTAAGCTATAGCGGAGAGCCCACCTGGCTGCTGTGTTCAGATCACAGTAGCTGACTAGCAGTTGGATCAGCTGCTCTTGTAGCCATCGATTCTCCCCAACTGTGTTCTGCAAGGAAGCAAGAGTAACAGAAGCTGTTGAGTATCAGAGGGGTAGCCGTGTTAGTCTGAATCTGTAAAAAGCAACAGAGGGTCCTGTGGCACCTTTAAGACTAACAGAAGTATTGGGAGCATAAGCTTTCGTGGGTAAGAACCTCACTTCTTCAGATGCAAGTAATG